GTAAATTTTACTGTTATAGGAACCATATAAGACATAAACTAATCTAATCCCACCAACAACTCACCATTCCTGCCATTCATTTGATTCTTTCAAATGAATGTGTGGATCGACATAAAAACGGGACACACAAATGAAGAGAATAATTCGTTTTTCCTCTCGCCACCCGTTATCATACCAAATTTTACTATTAATCATTCATGAATCAATCCCAACCAAATCCTAAATCTGTTATTTCTTTATGGCGATTTTCGGCCAATACTCTTTTGGTGTTTTTTGCCCTGTCATTACCGCATTCCTCGTCGTCATGATAGGTGGTGTTTTTCTACTCCGATTTCAAGTTCTTTGTTCGCCTCTCCACTCGCTCAGGCATCTTTTCTTGGGTAATATTTATTTAATGAAAAAATCGTGAATTAGAGGACGGGTTAAGATGCTTTGAATGAAAAAAGATTGAGTTCTGGTTTTTTGGTTTCTTTTTTTAGTATAAATTCATAGTTTAATCAGAAAAAAATTAGTTGTGGACCTTGTGGTTTTTATGTAATCGTTTCGAGATCATTGGTTAAGACACCCATTATTGCACTAGTATTTATTTACATCTTGAGTGTATAATTTGCATCTTATGCCTATGGTTAAAATTCTTAAATTGCTAGCTTAATTTTTAAAGATTTGAATTGTCAGGTACGATTTCTTGTTCGATTATGTTCATCAGTTTATGATTTCGGATTTTGTCAGGATTATTGTGTATAATTTTGCTCATGAATCAATCATTCTCAAATTCAATTTCTTATTAGAGATGTTATTTGATAGTTTTGGTCATTTATTTTCATGTTAATGGAGATGTTGTACATTTAGTTGATGCTGGATGAATTTGAAACTGAAATTAAAGAACCCAAAGAGGAAGTTGTGTGGATGGAGAGGAAGGGGAGTTCATGGTTCTTCATTTCACATGCCCTTGTGGCAAAGGTTATAAATCTTTCTCTCTGGAAGCAATTGTTGCTACAAGCTCACAAATTTCTAAATTACTAATCTCAATCCTTACTTAGGAGATTTCGATATGATCAATAACGAAGAATCGACACCTTTTTTCCTTTGCTTATCAAGTTTGTGTCTACAAATTGTACAGAAAATGTTAGATGGATAATG